ATATATATATATATATGTGTATATATATATATATATATATATATATATATATATATATACACGTATATATACTTCTAAAAGTCGTGTATCATGCATAGGAACGTTGACGCCTGCAAGGCTCTGGTACTTTAATTATGAAACTGTGATAAATAATTCTCATTTTGTGATCTGTGCTTGTTTTAACCAGTGTATACCAGTTCTAACCAGTTCTAAACATGGCTGGCAGAACCGGGAGCGGGGGTCAGACCCCGCCACTTTTTGGCAAAAAATAGATAATGTCTATGCAGATTTGTGTATGATCGGAAAGAAATGCTAGTGTGCCCCCCCCCCAACATTCAAAAATGTTCTGCCACTCTTGCTAAACATCTAAACAAATCTTATAAAATCTGTACTTGTTCTAACCAGTCCAAACCAGTTAATACCAGTTCATAATCTAACCAGTTCCAAGTAATTGCCATGAAATATCTGTTTCAACCAGTCTGAACTAGTTCTTACCCAGTTCAGTTAACTAGTTCTAAATGAGTCTGTACTCTGTCTTAATATTAGTTATTCATCCAGGAAAGTTAGCAATGTTAAACAAATATGTTTAAAGCAATTATCTATTTTTACATCAATCGACAGCTGTGGACAATGTACTGTGAACAGTTTGCTATGATGAGCTATCCACACAGTGAGCAGCACAACACAGCAATTCTTGCCATCATGGACTTTTGGGGGAGAGTCACGCCTGGAGTTCTACAGCTTTTGTCTCACTCTAAAGTGGTAAGCTGTTATATATTTAGTATACAGTAGTCGTAATATTTGGTGTTGTTATTGCTCTGGTTGTAGTAGCTTTTGTTTTTGTTTTCTTCAGTTGTTTGCTTTTATCAGTTATGTTAATTGTAAAGTTTTTTCCCCCACAAATTCATGTCAAAATACTGTTGAGCCCTCATTCATCCGTAATGCTTGTTGAAAATTAAATGTAAGCATCCTGTTTCCTATATTCAGCAATTGGCTGCATCTAGCCTCATATGAAGCTAGAATTACTCTACATTTAACATAAAACTGTAATCATTTTTGATACACATACAGAATTAAATTATTGGTTTTTAATTCAGATAGAAGGATGATAATGTTGATGATAGTTTCACTGGACTTAATTATTTTTTAATGAGTCGCTCCATTCTCCTGTTAATCTATGATGTTAATATATCTGTATTGCATTTATAATCTGCACTTCATGTGTTCTTGTTGTGATGGTAAGGATGCTCGGATGGAGGTAATCAAATAATCTCATTTGCAAAGCCACTCGCTTAAATGACATCTCAAAAGCTTCACTCATAATCCTTTGAAGAGCCACACTCAATTTGCACTTTAATTCCACTCACTAAGTCTTCCAATAGCTTTGCCAATTTGCACTCAATAAAAAAGGTTGCAATTGCAATTTTTTTATCTGTCTAATTTACTGCACTTTGTAAATATCTCAAAACATCATTTAAAAGATGTGATAGCACCCACTAACTCAGCTACACCTAAGTTTTGGTTGAGTTAACCATGAGGTCACAATAAGGTCATTTTGTGAGGGTACAGACACTGCACACCTTACACATCCATAGTGTAGTTTGCATATTCCTGGTTTAGAAATAATACATTTGTAAGTTTTTTTAGTGTTTCCCTGCTTTTTTCCTGCCCCATTCTGTCTCACCTCTAGAACTGAGCATTTTATCTGTTTTCTTTTATTGCAAATAACCACAAAGAATACACAACTCAAGAAGAAATCCCAGTAATCATATATAGGTATAAAACTATGGTGCAAAAAGTAGAACAATTTCCATAATCTTTTATTTCTCAGCATTTTTGGTTGCTTTTTAAATTAATATAGCCCGAGCATAATTATTCAGTGAATAGAATTGTATTTTCATAAATTTACTTTTATTGAGTACCTTCCTTTGATTTGATTTTTTGTTTACACATTATTATATTTCTTATTGAATTAATTTCAGTAACTTCTTTATTTAATTGCAGTTGGCTGAGCGGGTAAACATGCACTTTTTGAGTTTGATGGAAGCATTGTTAGAATGTCACTCATCAGCGTTACCCAAGGTAAATTACTTTCTTACTACTAATAAGAATAATAGTAGTCTTATATAGCGCATTATTATGCTACCTCCATGCCCATCACATTAGGATTACCAATCTCCCTGGGAGAGTATTCCATAACATTGCAGCAGCTAATCTGCGCATTTTGCCATTTAACCCTAACAGGTACCCACTTATACTCCTGGGTGGAGTGAAGCAATGCAAATAAAGTGCCTTGCTCAAGGACACAAGCTAAATACAAAGCGAGGGATTAAAACCCCGACCTCGAGTTCGGGGAATCAAACCATTCCCACTGCGACAAACCACTTAATAATGTTTGCTATTCTTCTCAACTTTACTATTCTTCTTACATCATTCTTCTTCCTTTCATTATCTTTATCAACATCTCTTTCCAATTTTGTCTTCAGATCTGTTCTCTCATTTCATCTTTACTTTTCCTTTACAATATTTGCCTTGCTGCTTCTATTTCTTTTGTCTTGTCCTTCCTCCAATCTACTTTTTCCTCCTATCTTCTCTTTCCTTTTCACATCTCTCCTTTTGTTCAACCAACTTCCTGTTTCTTCTCATTTACTCTCATCTTCCATCATTTTAAACTAAGTTTAACATGTCAATATACCTATTTTTCATAGTTACTTCCGATGTGGAGCCCAATTCTGTTTAGCTACCATTCAAAGGTAACAGTAAGCTCTTCCAAACATTTTTTTTACATATTAAATTCTTATATATATATATATACTTCCTTTATTCGGCTCTTAAGGGGAAACAATTTTGTCTATGATTTCACCTCAACATCGTTTAAGTTTTCCCTTAGCAACATGACTTTCGCCTTAAGGTGCTGTTTTTAACCCTCTTCATTGTTAAGGTTTCCCCTTATGGATGGATCTAAGCTGTTATATATAACATTTATGTGTTGAATAAATTTTGTGTTCTAAGTCTACCAAATCGTTGTCATCTCATCGTATTTTCATTGAGTTATTTATATATATATATATATATATATATACTGTATATATATATTTTAAAATTCATATATTAAAGAATCTCTATTGAGATCCAGCGGGCTGCCACTGATGCACGGTAGAGATTGCATCTTTAGATCTCCGATCTTGTTCACAAATTCACGGACTAGTGCTGTCTCGTACGAATTTCGTTGGACGTGTTAAGAATGACAAAATATTCTTTGTATCTACAGGAACCGAGCCACATAGCTTGTATTCCACTATTTGCATTCACACCTGGGTTGTGTATATATATTGCCTT